CTTAGATAATAATCCAGATTTCCAGTATACAGATGAATCTCTGGTGAATAGTTGTCAAAATTGATGACAACAAGTAAAACATTTCTAACAAAATGCACGATAAAACATATGGACACCAATACTGGATGATAGTAAATGTTTCGTTCATATGGATAGTTGGGTGCAAATAGCGATAACCCTATCCGATAGAGTTGACAATCTGCTCCCGGTATTTGCCACTGTTTTAATAGTAATTTATTTGTTTTGATTTTATTATCATTCATATTGTTTGCAATATTTTCGTGCAGTATTTTAAGTTTAGTAACAATAAAAATATTTATATATAAGTTAGTTACTAAATTTGTACAAAAATGTATTTCAATATGTTTTAAAACAAAAATAGATATTAGTATCATTAATTAACATTGAAGTATTATATTATTAAAAGTTTTTATTCGTAGATAGACATTAATAAATATTAAGTAAAATTTTTGTAATACAAGTAATTTTCTAGAAATTTATGCAATTTATTAGATTTATTAGATACACATTATAATTTCTAGGATAACTGTATGATAATCTATATTTATTGTAATAATTAATAAAAAAAATGGGTGCATTGTATTCATATAAGTAAAACATTAATGCATATGCATTAATGCAAAACAATTGTTTGTTTAAAATTTATTATTATTATTATTATTATTATAAAATTATTGATAATATTAGAAATATACAGTATAATGAATATTTATATTTTGTTTTGAGTTTAATAATATTTATAAATAATTATAATAAATTAAGAAATATACTATTTAGTTATACAAATATAATAATAAAACTTTTCTTTAATAATCAAAAACTGTATTGTATTAATTTTTTTATTAGATTAATGTGTAATTTACATGCATAAAGTAATTAAATTGTTATAAAAATATATAATTAAGTATATTTTTTATATTTTTCTCGAAAAAATGAATTAATTTAAAATTTTCTTATTATTTAAGATCATTAAATACAATACAAACTTCTGGTAAGTTTATTAAGTTTATTATATACTAAAACATGATTATTGTTTGAATTGATTTTCTTTATATTTATACAGTATATGTTATATATATAGAAACATAGACACAATATTAATTTATTTTGAGGCTTAATCTTTTGAAATAACTAAGATTATGTAAAATAAAAAATCTACAGACAATTACAATTAGAATTCAGTAATGAAAATAACTTTCTTGAATATATTTTAAATGTCAAAATTGCTAATATTAATATATTATATAGTATAAAATACTACTGAAACTTTTTAAATATTTGATGAGATAAAAAAAAGTTAAATGAACTATTGATAAATAAAATATTTACACTATTAGATTACACTTTAATAGTTTTAAATATTTTTATTTTGTATTAAAATGAAATATTTGATTAACAACGTCAATGAATATTAACATTTAATTTAGTATACAATTAATATAAATCTAATATTAATTTTTAAAAAATTATCTTAAATATGTTTGTAATATTAAAACAATGCATGTAATAATCATAATAATTTTATAATTACATATACATGTAGTTACCATACATAACATTACTTACCATTTTTAATTTTTATTTATATATTAAAATCGTCAAACAATAAATTTTTATTGTATTATGTTATATAAAATTAATTTTTTTCTAAATTTTGTTACTTAATTAATCTAGTAAAATTTTTATTATTTTATAACTATACAATTACTAAAACTCTAATTAATTTCAAAAAAAATATTTTTAGTTTATTTCTATTTTATATATATATATATAATTTAATATTGTCACTAAAATATTTATTGTTCTCACATTAATCATATTATAGTGACTAAAAATTAGTATTATTACTATACTCTAGTAATTATAATTTAATGTTGAAAAAAGTAGTATAATATAATTTGTAGCAAATTTAGCGCATAATAATTAATATACTTTATAATTAATCTATGCAGATATATAAATATTTTTGTATAAATATTTAATAAAATATAACTATAATTAAATATTAGTCAAAATCTAAAAATATTTTTCACAATATATTGCTTAAATTATTAATTATAGTTTTACAGTAAATAAAATTTTGGAATAAAAATTGTTTATTATAATATTTGATAATCATTTTAATATATTTTTAAACAACAATTTGAAATGTTTGTCAAAAATCTACATTTATTATTATTTGATCACTGGATACTCTATAGACATGATATGTGTTATACAGGTGCCAATAAACGACAACGGGTTAGACAAAAATTTAGGACATTATTGTTAACATTTAGTATGACTATACAAGTCATACGTTTTATTATATATTATTTTAGTTATAATAATAATACTGGTTTGTCACCTATATATTTTGATGTAGTCCAATTTATGCAAGGTATTGTCAAAATTATCTACCTGGCTGCTATTATTTTTACCATATTGGGTATATTATTGGTATATGTTATGAATCATAGTTACAATTATGATTGGTTTTCGGTTATGCGTGCATTAAGCGGTTTGGATAATATATCCCGTATCGGACTACAGGATCGTCAGCTTATAGATAGTTTAGTTAAAAGGATAGGTTTGATGAAACAAATTATTGATAATTGTATTAAATCAATGAATATATTTGCTATTACTTACTCTACAACATCACTGGTCTTACATTTAACTGTCGGCCAGTTTCTGACCTACGGTTTTGTATCAATAATTTTATATCAACTATTCATACATAATATATGTACGACTATATACTATTGTTTTCTCTATTACTACACTATATGTCATTATATTAAGGCATGTTTCAAACAATTCAATAATCAATTATTAATTAAAATCAATAATAATAATAAAAAGTTGACAACAAAAAACTTAGCTTATTTTGTGAAATTGATGATCCATGAGCATGATAAAATATGTACTAATTTAAACCGACACAATCAATTTTGGCGTAACTACTATTTTTGCGTATGCTATTCAATAGTGCCACTGACCCTATTGGTCACACATATGGTATTGTTTCAGAAACTGGTAGTCCTATCGCTATTTATTTGTGGATCGGCCGACATATCATTTTTGTTGGGTATACTATCACTTAATTTAATTACAGCTTCAATCAATAGCGAGACCTCTAAAACCTATAAATTGTTTTTGAAATTTTATTTCAAATATAATAACTATATTGAAGTTAGAAATAAGATTAAAGTAGGTTTGAAAATATTTTAATTAAACATTTGTAATAATTTTTTATATAATTTCTAAAAATAATATTTATAATAGTTATTAAATTGTTTAACACGTGTGGGAAATAAACAGTATTTAATTGGCTTTAGTTGTGGCAATCAGTTTGTTATGACTAAACGGACAGCATTTACGGTAAACAATATATTGTAAAAAATATATAATGTTTCAACAAATTTATTAATATTTATTTTTATTAATTTAGATGTTTATAATATTTTTACGATTTTTTCTATTTACACACAAATTTGCTGAATCATATAAAAAATATCATAAAATTTAATTTTAGTAACAAAAACAAATGTTTAATTACAATTTAATTATAAAATTTAATAAAAATGTAAATTTTAGTATACTCTATATAAGTATAATATATGATTTTTCAACAAAATAAAATTTTACTTGTTTTTATTATTATGTATTTATTACCTTTTTTTAATTAAAAATTTAAGTATACTATATATCAGGGTTACTAAAGGTTTTTGATCTCAGGGGTGGGGTATAGGTACAGGGGGTACCAGTGTATATGTATAATTAATTAGTATAATGAGTATGAAATTTAAAATTTTATTTGATAACAAAATTAAATAATTTTTAATATAAGAGTATAATAATGTAAAATTGATTTTTAAGTAGAAATTTTTATTATTATTTAATAAATTCAATAATTCTATTCTTTTAACCAAAAAAACTTAAGTTACAGTTTTATATTGACTTAAGATCTTTTATATTTTTAAATCAAATTTTTACATATAAATTTAATTTTATATATTTTATTACACTTTTCTATCCAAGTTAAATATTATGTTACAAAATTTATTTGTGTTATTTAAAAAAAGCAAACGATAATTAGAGAGAGAGAGAGAGAGAGAGAGAGAGAGAGAGAGAGAGAGAGAGAGAGAGAGAGAGAATATGAATATAATATTAAATATATAATAATAATATGAGTATAAATAATATGTAAATAATTTAAGTAAATATGAAACCTTAACTTAAGTGTATAAAAACAAAATTAATAATTTAATTTACCGTATACCGCGATCTTATCGGACCTGTCCTAAATTCGATTTTGGAAAATTACCGTGTATCTATGGTCCTATATGATGACAAAATAGGACCCCCTGTCCAATGTATGACAAAATAGGACCTCCCGGTCCTATTTTGTTAACAATTCATATAATCATTAAATAAATAATAATTACCGGGACTCAAATTATAGATGTCAACACAAATAAAATATAATATAACCGATACATCAATAGTGGTCCTAAATTTAGTAACTATAAAAAACAAGCGGTTACCATGGTCCTATTTCGTGACATTTAAGGACACGTTTTACTTTATAGGACCTGGTCCGATAAGATCGCGGTATACGGTACTTTATACTAAAAAAAATCAATAGTAATTATAAGTATTGTATTTAATGTAACAAAATAATTGGTTATTATTATATTATTGATAATTTGTTAATAATTTATATATAGTTCAAAGAGTTTAAGAATAATTAACTTTTGTTTGTTTGGATATTACGGTAGTTATAAAATATTATATAACATTAAATAGATATAAAAAATTAATTGTTTTTATTATTACTGTATTATAATATAATTTTAAATATCAATAAATATTTGAAATAGTGAAAGTGAAATATACTTATTCAAAATAATTTGTTTATTTATTTATTTAAAAAATTTAATTAATTTTTAAAATCATAGTATAAATCAAGTATTTATTTCAAACAAAATTACGGTAAATCTATTTGTTTACTTAATCACTGACTTATTTGATTAAGATATGCATCAAACGCTAGTTTACGATACGATTCGGCCGATTGTTTGACATCAGTAGAGCTGGTGATACCACGGCCGACAATGACCACATCGGCACCCCTTTCGTTAATTGCCGTTTCGGGCGAAACATACTGTTGGCCGAGTGGGTCGCCATTTGCAGCTATACTCACTCCGGGTGTCATATGTATGACCGAAGGGTCAGCTGAGACTCGCGATTGACTAATAAAACCGAAGACAACATCACTGAACTTCTTCGACCATTTATAGGCTGTTTTCGTATAGTTAGCGCCCATTAGGCTATCCTTTGAGCTCATGGATGCTATTAGTAGACAACCTCTTTCGCTATTCTATAGATGAAAAAATCAAATCCAATTATCATAATTTTCATCGCAAATAATGACACATACATTGGCGATGTGTTTGCGTAGGCCTTCCAAAGCTCCGGGACCGGCAGTTAAATGTGCGTTCACTATATGAGCCCAACTGCTGATCTTAAACACACCTTTCGTGTACTGGAGACTGACTGTCTGTCCGATGTCAGCAAATTTCCTGAAATATTAATAAATAAATCAATCAATCAATAAATTTCATTATTGTTTTATTGTTGGATCAAATTGTTATCACAAACCTGTCTTCAAATATCAAGAACTCCTTTTGTTCGGCAATTGATTTTAATTCATCGATAAATCTATCGTTAAAATTGTCAACAATATCGATGTGAAGCTTCAAAATGACAATTTGGTCACCAATTTGTTTCGCCAAATCCAATATTTGTTGGTCATCTGTAAGATCAACGGCTACACAAAGATTGCTTTGTTTGTTTGCCATCAATCGGAACAATCGTTTGGCCAGCGGATGACTGGTGGGTAGTTCGGCGCGCTGTTCATAGGACAACCGTTTTATTGCCGCTGCAGATGATGACTGATTGCTGGGATCTAATAGACGATAATCATTGAGTACATCATCGTTGACATCGAGACGATTGTTATCAATCCATTGAATAGTATTGTCTTTTTGTTCTTTGCTTATTAGGTGTTCCTCTTCCAGGATCTTGAGTGCTGTGCGGACACCAATAATACTAAAAGAAGTGATCAATCAATCAATTATTGATTATTATATTAGATGTCAAACCTGTGTATATTGAGACCAAACTCTTTCATATTTTTGACGCCATTCTGTTGGCGATCAATGAAAACTACGGCATCGGTTACCACGAGTCCGGCGTTTCTTAATGTCTTGAAAATAGACATTATTTCATTAAATATCACCAAAAAATACTGATTCATATATACATACGATAGCCGTTTCCAGAATACTGGTGCCGCTGGATATGATATCCTCTATAATGACCACCCGATCGCCCGATTGATAGACGCCTTCAATCATTTGTTTGGTTCCGTAGTCTTTCATTTCTTTGCGTTTGGTAATCATTGGTACTTTTTTTGGATCTTTTTCGGGATACTCTTTAAGTACACACATGCCCTAAGACAACAACAAAAACAAAAATTAGTCACTAATTGATTGACTCATCCTATGGGATGACCACCGATGATGATAACCTACCGCAGCGATAGACAGTGCAGAGTAGGGAACGCCACAAATCAGATCAAACTCTAACTTCTCGGCCATCAACTTGTCGTACATTAGATTAGTTAAAGTGATCTTTAATTAAATGATAATAAATAATAATAATAACAACAACAACAAAATTATCATCACTTATATTAGATCCCAATCAATACAACAATACCAATGGTTCCGGTTGATTGACCATCGGTCGGATGTCCAGATAGATTGGCGATCGGCGGCCTGTCTTCAGTACAAAGTCGCCAAATTTGATGGCCTTTAGATGAAAACAGTCGCGGATTAACTGACGAAGTATTGTTTGGTCAGTCATTTTGTCGGCCAATCAGTCGATCAGTCAGTTGTGTGAATGCAATGATGTCTTTAAAAACAGACAACAAGTGTGACAAACATGTGATCAGACTTTTAAAAACTTTGTTGTGTTTGTTGTGTTTATTTCTATAGTATTATTACAATACAGTATAGTGTGTAATAAGTTTACTATTAATACTTAATAATGTATATAAAATTTCCGGGAAATTTCAAAAATACTTGTTTCAGTTTATAACTGTAAACTCTGTAAATTAAATTACTTTAACAATAATAAACAAAACAAATCTAATTAGTTTTATTTAAAAAATATTTAAAAATTTTATTAATTATAATTAATTATTTTAGTTTATTAAAATTTATATTTTATTAAAATAAATAAACTAGAAAATTTCAATTCAATAAATAGTTAGTTATATATCACTTATCTGTATTTACTTATACTGTATATCTATATAGGGTTAGATCAAATTCCTTACCTCGTTTTATTTTCCAAAAGTTCCTTATGTTCCCTAATCTCAGGGAATTTCCTTGTGCTACCACCTATTGAAACCTAAATAACACATTTTATTATGATGTTTGAAAAACAAATATTATATTAAACTGTATGGCTTTGAATGGTATTTAATAAAATAGTATCAATAAGTTTATTGAATAATTATTGTTTCTCTTTTATAGTTTAAAGATTTTTTCTTTACATAATAGATACACAAATAAATAATAGAATTTAGAATAATTTGTTAAATTAGTTTGACCAAGTTTGTTTTGAAATACCCTGTATATCTCTAATTTAAAAGTGGGTCGATTTTTTGTAATTTATTTTTAAAAATCACAACTATTCCTTATTATTATTATTTTTAAACTTTAATTGATAAAAATATGTTTTACATATTGTATTATTTATCATTAAAAGATAAATAATTGATTTTAAATTATATTATACTTAGGGTATTAGATTAATAAATGGGAATTTAACTAATAATAATTAAAGATGTTTTATAGTTTAAATCAATATTTTTCCAATATATGTGACATTAAATAAAATAATTTTAAATTTAGATATTAATAAAACAAATAAGATATACGATAATTAGTAAACATTATTAGAGTTAAATCAAATTATTTATTGAAATATTAGTCACTAAAAGAGTATTTTATAAAATTTAGATTAAAATAATACGAGTTTTCAAGGTTTAAATAAAAATAGATATAAATAGTTAAGTAAATTATATGCCTATGAAAGTAGTTGAATGCAAGTGAATAACAATTACACGATTCTTATAATTTATATAAATATTGTATAATTTTTTTATATTATAATATATGTATGAATATAGTTGACTACTAGTGACAACAGATATGCCGATCCACATACCAATAGTACCACCGATTTCATAGACAAGTGAATAGATATCCATTGATAACTGTTCAATGATTTGTGGCTCTAATGAGTATTTTGGTATTATATTAATCTCCGTATAGTTCATGACTACCGACGACCCGATAGTTGTTAGACTAATATAAGGAAATATTTTGAAACAACGACTTATATATTGTTGACTACATTTTAAATTAAATAAATTATATTTTTCTAGAAATTTATCATTATTTTTACAATATATTAGAGTATTATTTGCTGATAAATCTATTTCTTGTATAATAAATGGAAAACATGTATTAGTTTTCAAAAACATAATTTGAATACACGTTTCAATAGATTGTAATTTTTCATTACCATATGATATCAGATTAAACACATTATCTGATTGTTTGCATCTATGTATAGGTGTCTGCAATAGTTTAACAGCTTTTGTTGTATAGATAATATTTGTCAAACTATTTGCTTTCAAAAAATATCCATAAATATCACCGGAATCATCAAACCAAGTGTGCAATATTATTGTTAATTTATTATTAGATATAATATTTTCATATCTAATAACTATATTTTTCAATTGTTTTTCTATTAATAGTAATTTCAAGTTTTCGCTAATATTGTAAAACAAATTATTTCTAATTAAAAACATAAAATGTAATTTATTTCCATTTTTTTCTATATTATGAATATTAGCTAATATTTGACGTTTTGGACAATCACTGTACGAGCCATCAGTAAATTGAAACCGACATTCAATGAGATCTCCGAAATAATCATATATTGATTTACGTATTAGACGTCTATTAGTAGTATTGAAAATTTCATTAATAATATTATTTTTGTTGATATTTTTGTAATCAACAAATCTATCAATCGGTATAGGATTGTATGGATAAAATTTGATGGCTATTTGTGGTACTCTAACATAGTGTCCAAACTGTATTTGTGTTGATATACGATATGTTTTATAAATAGTTATTATTGATTGCAAATGATAACACATTAAAACGAAACATAATAGAAATATTAAGATATTAATTATACTTGAAATATATTTGATATAATTTTTAATAATCTTATTAATGAAATATAGTTTACTTATTAATGTTTTTATTAGAATTTTTTCAGTAATTATTTTAATCATTGAATAACAACTATATCCCCAAAACATACTAATAAATACTCCTAATTCACACCAATAGGCTATGGCCGACATCGAGGGTAAGTGTAATACTGTTAGTATAAAATGTTTTTTAAAATAAATTTTAAAATATTTTGGTTGTTTGTATTGATATAAAATAATTGACTTAAATTTTGAATCAATTTCCATCAGAGATTGTGATACATCGTATGTATAATAATTGCAATCGGGTCTACATTTTGATTGTAATTCATGATAATTGTAATCAACAATACAATTGTTAATAAAATTATTATTGCTTATATTATTATAATGTCTAATAATTGATAAAATGTGTGATTTATTATAAATGCGATATTGAGTCCAAAAGTAATTATAATTGCATTTCCTATACTCTCTATCTTTCATTACATTTAACATGCATTCAGTGCGCGATTTTGGTAGTAGTCGTCCATTAGATAGTTTGCCATCGATATCATAATATTTGCAATCAGTCTGATAGGGAAACGGTAGATATTTTTGAAGATTAGTATTTACTTTTAAATATTGAAGTGGATTATTATCATTGACTATATCCATGTGTTGAAAATGTGTGGGTGTATTACTTGTAGCCATTGCTAGTTTTAATGACATATCGTAACTTAAAACTATACGTATTTCATTTAGTCTCAATGTTTTTCTATGATAATAGTTAGTAAAGTTGCTACCCTGGTACATTAGTATCAAACATGGTCTACCCGTATAGCTATAGCGCATGTAGTCTTCACCATTGAATTGATGGCATATTTTGTTATAATTGCCAGCAATACTACACCAAAATAATTTGTTAAATTTATTTTCAATATTTTTGGTTAAATTTTTAAGCCATTGTTCAGTCAAACATAGTGTTATCGATGGCATAGTTTTGACATTAAGCATATCATCCGATTTATTGAAATATAATTCAATGTTTGTCTTATAGTTTAAGTACTCAATTGTATGCAATAGTATTATATAAGAAAATAATATTAATAATAAAATTGTTATCAATTTATTGACACTATATAAACACATTTTGTATAAACTATTGTACAAAAAATAATTATTAATAAATTAAATTATACTTTACTTAGATTATTAATTTAAACATTTAATATATATTTTTATATACTTTGTTATTTTAATAATAAAATATTTTGTTAATAAATAATTATTTTTTAAACTTATATTATTTAATAACATATAAAATATTGATTTTTAAAACTAAAATTTAATAAATATGTATTAATTATTTGATAGATAGTTACAAAGTTAGTAAAGTTTTGTTTTACAAAAATACTATTTTAAAATAATAGAAATGGTTTCCTTAGCTACAAATTTTTTAATATAAAATAATTGATATAATTATAATAAGTACATTATATAATACAATAGTAGATATGAATATTAATATAAAATAAAAATATTTAATTTAAAAAAATATTTTTAGTCTTATAGATGTTACGCAACACAATATTTTTTATTAGATTTTTGTATTACTTTAATTTAAAAATAATTATAAAACTTATGAAACATAATATAGTTTTATAAAAATAATATAATTTTTTAATAAAATATTGTTAAGTGCATTACAGTAATTATCTATATTTATATTTTAGAAATATTTTATAATTGTCAATTATTATTATTATTATCTGTTTAATTAAATATAAAAATAGATAAAATGTTTAAAAAACTAATCAATATATCCATTATATTTATATGAAACTGTTAAACATGATATATAAATTTATATAACATATTATTAAAAATCTCAAAAATCAAAAGTGCTATTGTCATACAATGCATAATACATAATATTACAATTATAAACATAATATTTTTAACAGTAATTTCTGTTTGCTTATCATTAGTATTAATAGATTGATCTAAATTAATATATTTATAATTTATTAATTGTTTTATATTTTTATTAATTGCCGATAAATAGAGGTTATAATTTTGGTAATATAATGAAGAGTGTATTAAGTTTTGAAATCTACAATAAAATAAAGTAAATATTTTTAATATTAGATAAATTTTAAAAGTAAAATACTGTTTAAACTTACAATTTTTAAAATTTTATTTTTACATTATTGTTAAGTTGTTTACTGATAGGATAGGCACTAAAAACAAACGATCCGTTACCTATGGTTCGCTTCAATGGGAACTCCGTATAAAATTTATATAATAAATCAGTAATTTTATAATTGCTTATAATAACAGCGTTTTCGTAAACTAATTGTTTAATACTGTCAACACATAGTAATTGATTAGCAAAAATTGGTTTAATATTTTTAGTTAATAAACTCCACGATTGCTATAATTTAAATTTAAATTTATTATAAGAAAAGTTAATTATATAATTAATTAAAAAAAATAATTTTACATTTAACATTTTATATTAATAGTTTATATTCATATGCTGAATTTTTAATCAAAATAGTCATATTACGTAACATTAGATCATCAAAATTGTCAACTGTTTTCTCGTTATTTAATATAATAAATGATCGAAAGTTATTCAAAAATAAATTAATTACAATAAAACTACTAAATAACCAAATTATTATCAAAACTTTCATGTGATACGATT